TTTTAGGATGGAGTAGTCTGCAACCAGCTGAAAACAGGACTCGAGAAGGATAGACACTGAGGGCGCGGTTTGACTCAAGAATTGACGTTTTCGACAAAACTTTGTAGAATACAGTAAAATCTCCCAATAACATTGATGGAAGACGATTTCGACGATTTGAACGGATTTCGTGTCATCCAATGACGTCACAGAAGCATTTCGTCATCCCGAGAAAGTTTTTAGAAGGAGTCGTCTCGTATCAAACCACTAATAACAATAAACAATCTTTTTATTGTTATCTCGTCAAACGGATGACTTCCGTTGCTGCGAACACACTAAAGTGAAACAAATAACACACCAAACCGTAGTTTTTTTTATATAAAAGTTGCATAGGGAAATTTACAAGTCCAAAAATGGACAAAGCAATTCATAGCAAAAAATAGAACAACTGACCACACTACGCAAAATAGTCGAATTATTTAGTACTGCGGATCTATAAATTTGGTAACGGGCGTTACTGCTATGTAATCTACAAATGACATGGCTTGGGTTTGTCAATTGATTTGTCATAGTTTTGCCAGCTTAACGGAGGGAAGGGGTGCTAAGTCCGCACATGATCAGTGAAACAAATTGACCCCGTGGTGTACAGGTGTTTCGTCGTAAAGATTGAGCACGTGGCACTCTGCTCCATATGCTGCACCCACCATTTGTATTTGTTGTTGTTGACAATAATCGACCAAAACAAAAATTACATCCATACATGAAAATGTAAGTACAAAATAAATGTGAATACAATTTTTTTAAAAATAATCCTGCAGCCCCCATAGACAAGTTGACATTCCCTGATATTGTTAAACCACCAGTTGTAAACTTTAAATATTTTTTATTAGGATTTCCGCATGAAGTTACTTACACAGATAGAGAAAACTGCATCATTTTGGTAAGCAAGAATAATGCTTTCTTTTGTCTAGGTTATAGAATAAATTCTCTTATTAATATTTTGATTAAGTGTGTATGTATAAAAATATGTACACCTCAAATGCAAACTAACGAATGCAAACTAACTCAAATGCAAACTAACGAAAATTATCTAGAATGTAAAATTGGATTGTAAAAATTAGCCGAAATGCTGTGACACTATCTTATTGGCGATGGGAATTCCCAAGACAGTTTATAAAATTGTGAACAAATATTTTCGTGAATAACGCGAAGTGTTTTGAAGCAGATTTCCTATCTAATAATTGCTGTAGAGATACAGCTATCACAGCTGCGAACGTTACAATCAACCTGGAATGTCCTGCTATATTTCTGAATTTATCTATAAAAATTCACATTTTCTCATGTAATATAATCTTTCATTGATTTCAAGCAAATGTCATCGGAACATTCGCAGCACTAAAGTGTCACTGGGATATTTTATATTGCCACTACTTTCAATTTTAATTTGCTGTATTACAATACATAAGTAATAATATATATATATATATTAAACAGATATATATATATATATATATATATATAT